TTTGCCTCACTTGTGGATAACACTGACTTTAGCCATTTTCATGTTTTTTTCTGGGATTATACTAGAAAGCGTTATTTTATTACAAAGATCACCAACAGGAGGCAACACTAACTGCGTTATTGCTTCAATAGGGGTAATCTTGATATCATCAACGCCACTTGCGCAGTTATTTTTTAGGGACATTAGTAATGTTGTGAACTTCTGTTTCATCTGTTGGTTCTAAAAATATTGAGCTTAATACCGGAACAGATAAGTAATGGTTATCATATACAGTCACTGATTCACAGGCACCAGATGACAGAAAATATGTAATAAATTCATCTGCCAATCAAGCTTGCGTATATAGAGTACCATCTATCTTAAGCTCTTCGGGGATAAAAACTGGATTTATTGACATTAATTTTCTCATAGTATTCCACAGCTTAGCTGGGTCTTCATAAATTTCAAGAAACGTAGATCTATAAAAGTTTATCTTCGCCTTTTTAATGTCAAGGGAAAGTTTGCTTTTGCATTTTTTATATTCCATAAGTAAACTCTTATTTTTAGTTTTGATAAATGTTGCAAGCATCTGATCACGTGCTTTGATTATGTTGTAAAGTTCCAGCGTTACCCACGGCTTCCTTGACTTTTTTATGTTTTTTTTTTTTTTTTTTTTTTTAATCTCCGCTTTCGGGAAAGCTTTATTATAGTATTCTTGAAGCTTTGATATAAAAATATCGTAAGATTTTGTCGGGTTAGGTAGGTTCCTTTAAAATATCATCCCAGTTTTCTGTCGAAACGAGACTATAAAAATCTTCCAAAGTGGTACGTTTATGAGTCTGAAAAATGATATGGGATTTAATCACCTCGCGGTCTTGAGTGATTATACGAGCGTCGAAGGCTGATTTGTCGACCCCATACATTCGTTCGACCGAAATTAGATTAATTTTGCCATGTGGCCGGGGTATAATGCAAGAATTCAGCGACTGCACGCGATAACATCGCGTACATGATCGTAAGTGACACTCGTCTACCCGTGTCCGCGTTGACTACGTCTATCCGATTTTTAACTGGGATCTGTTTTGCTGCGTCCAATCACTGCGTGTCTCGCCATTTTGTCGAATTATTTAAGTATAAAGTATGCATTTATACTCAATGTTTTCGACTTAAAACAATCACATTTTTCTATAGACGTCTTATACGCATAACTCGTGCCATTTCGTACCGATCATTTGGCGGTGTAATATTTCGCCCGTGTAATAAAATGTTTTCTAGACCCGTTGCTATGCGCAACTTTCATTTTAGCTAATAAGGCACACGCGTGTGACTAAAAGCGCATTACGACGGTCGATTCACGCGCCCTGCCTTCGCCTCGACGCGCGCCTCCGATGGCCTTCCTTTGCGACGACACGAGAAGAGCGCTACAGCCTCAGCTTCTAGGTGGTGTTACGCGAGCACACGCAACGAAATTGACGTCATGGTTCTCCATTCACGCTTAAGATGATTGTAAAATGTATGGGCTACGGGCAAAAGGAGAACAAAGAAGGCTTTTCATCTCGTGAAAGCTACGTGCTTGTTAGACCGGTTGATCGCCTACCTTCTACACCAGACCCCACAGTGGCGATGAAAAGCCTGTCGCTATTCGCCTTGCGTAATAGATAGCCAGTGGAAAGATCCTGCGCCACTCATTATGGACACTAAAATAAGTATTCAGCAATCAACAAACCGCTGAAGAACAGACGAATTATGCGTCAATATTTGCGAGGGACCATCTTGTCCGGCTTTGCGCTTGGGACCGTTTTGTCCAGATCCCGCTCGGAGCACGTGGCGCGAAACGGTGCAGAGCCATTGGGACCTGGGTTCAATCCCAATCTGGAGGAGGGTACCCGAGTGCGGCCTTGTATCGCTATTGTGCGAAGTCTAGCAGTCGCAATGCAGTGGCTAAATCCTCGTTAAAACACGATGATTAAAACAAAGTGCACAACGACAGGATAGAAGAGGACAAGCCCTACTTACATCTGAAGTTTGATCGTCAAGATTCCATGAATTCGTTTTTTTTTTTTTTTCTATTGATTTTAAATTTTCTGAAATTAAAGTTTATTTTACTGTTCCCAATTAAAAAAAAAAATTCGATGAGCTAAAAGGCAAACCCCTTTTCGTCAGTAGTTCGAGATTCCGAAGAAAACTAAAGTGGCATCTCCTCGGAACCACTGTCTCTGCGCACTATTTTTTTTTTTCCTGATCTTTTTTTTTCTCTCTTTTATTCGAAAAAACTTAACCATTTTTATTCGACGACCAACCAAAACTAAACACACCCCCAATGACAATACAGGGTTGCTCCTTGACGATTAAACTTCAGTAGCAAGTTCAGAGATCGTGTGCCTTCTTTCGTCTGTCCTGCGATTGTGCGGTGTACGTTTTATTCAGGCATAGGACAAAACTATCCCGGTAAAAATGGTCCTGGACAGGATGGTCCCAAGCACAAACCGAGACAAAAAGGTCCGAAGTGATTTGTTGACACTTTGGGCGCTCTTTGAAGTTTTAGTGAACTACTACTCTGAAGCTTTATTCAACACTGGTAATGCATATTTTAATGTAGTTAAGATTTTTGTTATATATTTGAGGAAACAACTAGAGAAGTCCAGAAGTTAATTTAAGTTCTATTATCGCTCACTTGGCTCTATGACTCCTTTTTGCATAAGTCAGAGCACTGTACAAAGCTGGAGTTTGGAAGTCACCACACAAATACACACGCGCACTGAAACGCAAGGTCGTGATGCACTCTGCAATTGATTGAACTAGCCGGCAATAACATGCACAAAAAGTCGACGAACGCCATTAGTATGTTTTATTTTCAGCACCGCTTGGTTGGTCCTATCAACATCAGGCTAGCAGTGGTACAGCGCTGGCAAAATACCATTCCATTTAGCGCTCTCTGGGCGGCACCATTTTGTTTGACCGCAGCGCCCTCTCCACACATCCGGGAAGTTCAGCGGGTTCGGCGGGCTAAAACGAGAGAGGGGCACGCGCCCGCCTCCGCTAGCAGACGACAAACCGGGAGGTTGCCGTTCTCCATCTTTGGGCTGTATCGGCGGGCAGTACGGAACATCGAACTCGCGCTCGTGGCTGCCGTTGTGAAGTGGTTCGCATTGTTATAATAGTTGTGGCTACTCCCAAATCAGCCTATAGCTCTCTGTTGTTCTATTTTGCTAAATGATCAACTACCATATCCTTTTTCAGTTACTTAAATAGCAGTTGAGTCAGCCGACAGTACTACCCTCAACTACTGCGTGTATTGCGGCATGAGAGCACGTTTTATTTATTATTTCAAACTTCCACTCATGGTCGCTAAAGGCCTACACCAGTACACTTTGTATAGTAAAAAAGGTACAGCAACCGGATTTACTTTTCGCCATAGAGACCGGCCAATCTGACACAGTTTTCCCTATTTTTTTTATTTGCACGCAGGTAACAGCGCAATTGGACCCTGTGAGTCTTTTTATCTAGCATAGTATTGCACAACTGGCATACCAAAATCTGCGCTTGAAAGTTCCAAAATGACGCGATTTTAAACACAGTTTGCACGCCAGCCGGACGCTAGCTACAGCCCACTCGGCGGAGCAGACGACGTCCCGGGTGAGAGAGGGAGGGCATTTTTTTCTCTTTTGCCCTCTCTGCTATGACCCTAATGGAACGGTCTATAGACCTTTTCCACAGGGGCGCCGCCATCTTGAATTGCCGTCACTTCCAGTATGGGCGACGATAAAATAGTAAAACGTTTCAACCTGTAACCAGTAAAAAAATAGAGCGGAGCCAAAACGAGAATGTGTGACGGTTAGGTTTATATCCTAAATGTGTTCTATTGGCGTGGCGACGGCAAAGTAATGTTTTCGCCCATACTGGAAGTGACGACCATTCAAGATGGCGGCGCCCTTGTGGAAAAGGTCTATACTCCGCGACAACTTTTCTTGGCAATGCAGTGGAAGGTACAGGCCCGCGTCCCCTCTCCCATTTTGAGTGTACGCAGGCTCTCCTCCTCCCCCATTTCCGGGGAGAGGAGGAGAACCCGCGCACACACAGAATAGCAGAGGGGACACGGGCCTGTACCTTCCACTGCATTGCCAAGAAAAGCTGTTGCAGAGTATAGTCTCACCGCTCCTCAAACGCAGACCGACAAGATACTGCATAAACACGAACGTCAAATATCTTTTTATAATGGCGTGTTATGGAACGTTTTTCTTCTCGCATTGATTATATTAATAGTATAGACGCATTATTTGATATATGTACTTATATGTTTACACTTTTGCCCTCTTGGCTCAACAACTGACATATGCAGTGTCTTTTGAATAGAAAAAATGCATACTTTAAAATGGTTAGCGTTTTAAATCGTAACAGCAAAACATTTTCTTTTTTTTTTTCTATATCCAATATGCAGAAAGTGCAAACAATCGACTAACCTCCCGAAGAACAAGAAAACTGTAAAAATTTGCTTGGAACTCTTTTGTCAGGGTTTGCGGTTGGGACTATTTTGTCCGAAGTCATTTTGTCCAGGACCAATTTGTCCGGATCCCGTTTTAATCACTGTGCCTTACCAATATGCCCAAGCTTCCATTTTGAACTGTCGAAACACAAACGTGAAGCTTGAATTCCTTTTTCTTACTACACGAGAGCCAGTCCGTCGGAAATGCTAAGTGGTACGCTTCATTGTTCTCAAAACCGTATATATGTGCCGCATCGCGACGCATTGTCAGTACACATGCATCACATATGGACGGGCGTTTTGCCAACATGGAGCACACACCAGAGTAAGGCCCTGGTCCATGCATCATGAACTGCAAGCAGACTTTACAGATCATGGTGCATGTGTCATGGGCTACAAGCAAAGACCATGTAGTTTATCCGATGGCTCCATTTTCACACCAGTTCTACGCCATTGGTGTCACTGAACGGGAGCTGCTACTTTGAATATTACTTCCATGCATTTTGCCTCATCCTGCCCAGAGAAGAAATGCCAGTCGTGCGATCACCAAAACAAAAATATTTAATTGTCGAACGCGTTTATCCGTACACTAAGTTTCAACAAACAAAATGGGGCAGGGACAGAGTACCATAAAATGTGTACAAAGAGCGCGAGGAAAACAATCCAATAAGTTAGTGACATCACACACAAAGAAAACAAGGCAAGACAGAAAGAATCCAGGAGTTCTTCGTGACCAGAAGCCAGAGTCGACACATAAAACAAAGAACAAAACGTCCGAAATCCCAAACGAAACTCATTGGTCAGGAGGTGAAACGAGTCCCCCTCACTGGTCAACCTTCGGTTCGAGTGCAAGTCGACCCGACCATGGCGGCCTCGTACATTAGGCTTCTTCGCCACCCGGCGGATGAAACAGTAACGAAAACAAAGAGCGGCAAACCAATCTTTTACGTGCAAGGCACGCTGGCAGATCGCAGCGCTGCACCAAATAAATAAAGGACAGAGAATGCGGACAATTCCGGCTAGCTTCATGCTCATGTTGCCAATGCCTCTTTGCCGGGGGAAAACATTTGGCAGGCAGCCGATTCGCCGCAGGACAGGAACTCGTATGACTATGCACTTGAACACGCCGAAAGCATATTTGGGGTGGGGAGGGAGAAACTTTGAAGACAACACCTCTTTTTCATGTTTTCGTAGAAAACACTCATGAACATCTCTCAGTGACAACACCAAACCCCAACCAAAAACCAGGTGCCGCTGTCTAACATGCCTGCAGTCACGAAACGGAAAACATTGGATCTTCCTGTGCCCTTCCGGAGTTAACAACAGTGTCCTGGCACGTTGTACGAAAATTGACTTTCGTCGCGTTCCACAACAAGACCGTGACGCTGCATACTTTGTTCAGTTGGTTTCTCTCAAATAGCGCTTGGGCAGGAGCGTTCATTTAGGTATATTTTTTTTTGGTTACAATTTTTTCACTTTATTATTGTTAGAGATTTTCAGCACCAACACGAGTCAACAAAAAAACAGCTATGAAATCCCCACTCCCAACTAGCGTCCCAACCCTCCAAGAAGTCAGCAAATGCCAATCGTTGAATGAAATTAAGGTGTCGACCGCCTGTAGGGATTGTCGAGGGGTTACTTTAGCTTGAGAACGCACAAGAGCAGCTTTGAGATAATGAACCAAAAACCGAAGAGGACATCAAGTAAATCAAAGCGCCAATGTTCTGTGCACATCAACCAAAGTCCCACCGAATCCTCAAGCCTCCAACATGACTCTAACGGGAGCTAGGGAATAACGGTAAGGAAAATTCCCCACAATAGATGCAAACGGCCAGAAACGAGAAACGGTCGGTCGGGTTTGGACGATTCCCGGTCACGGCACCACCACAGCAAGGAGAGTGTTCTGCTTTTTTTTTTTTATCCGTAAAAAAATACTAAGGATGTCTCAACATTAGTCTATAGAAAAAACGCACACTACATACATCATTCGTACAAAAGTGGAACATGTGCAGAAACGTCCTTAAAGTACACAACACACAGGATCCCTTGTTTCTTTGCGAAAGTGAGAACAAAGAGAATGGAAAGAAACCCCCTCACAGATCTAGTGTTCTCTGTAATACAATATTAACAACTTGGGAGATGATGAGCTTACGGACCTCTGGAACAGTCGCTCCTCGCCAAGGGGAAGACATGTCCACACGAAGACCTCGCGTGCACGTTGCAAGGTCGTTGACGGCTTCCCTTTGCGCGTGCTCCGGAGTGAGGTCCGCTAACGGAGGCTATCAATGAGCGCGACAAACGTGTGCCGCATGGATTGTTGGTTTGGTTTGCTAACGTAACCTGGCTGAACAGGCTCCCACAAAAGACGTAAGCCTCGCTCCGCTACATACAGTCGTCCACTCAGCGTCCGCTATAAGGGTTGTCGGCCACTGAGACCCGGCAACCGGGAGCCTAAAGTGAGATTAGGACTGCTCCTGAAGTACATTTGTATAGATGTAAGCAAACCCAAGAGACCTCATTCATCTCCCCTTGATAGCGAGATGAAGGCTAAAGAGCAAGCAGCTTTGAAAAAAGCTCCTTTTTGCGAAGCCGGAACACATTCGAGGGCAAACTCCTCGTGCAGTAGCCTTCACTTCACCACTACTGTAAGGTGAAATAAAGTTTAGAAAACCATGGGCACAGACAAACCTGAAACAGGATTTGTTGCCACATTAGCTGGCACAAGCTGAGGCGTCCTTACCATCGAGCTCCAACACGTTTCTTTGAGAACTGAGATCAAACTTGCGACACTTCCGATAAAACACCGTCGCAGGTAGAAGAGTGTGAGATGAAGTAAAGTTTTCCGGATATTGCATGCGCCGGTTGCCAGAAGGCTTCGTCCAATTTCGGGACGTTTACTGGAAATCTCAGCAGCGCTCGAGAAACCCTTATAGCTGGTAACGATCCAGCATTGCCTGCTCAAAGAAGAAAGCCTCGTGCATGGAGCAACCACACGTAGAAGCACGTATAACACATCCACAGCGAGAAAAACAGAAGAACGGGAGTAGCCAACAACATGTAACATGTCGCCTTGAGCACGTACTGCCAAAACAGAAAAGAGTGTACACGGGAGGAAAAACAAAAACAGGGGGGGGGACAGATAGCACAAACAGGCGAGACGCAACTGACACGGCAAACTTCTCCTCGGAGTGGAGAGTGAGAGAGAGAACGCGATATGCGCATAATAAGACCCAACACGGAGATTGGCTTCCGATAAAAGGCAAGACATTGAAAAAAGAAAACACCATACACTTCAAAACATTGTGGCACCCCGGGAAGAAAAAAAAGACAAAGTGTGCCGGCAGCAAGCTTCAGTTATAGCTGTGTGTACATGGCAATAAAGACCGGCAGCACTGACTAGGCACAACCCCCATTCCAACCCTAAAAGGGGGAGAGGGTGGGGGGGGAAGCGAAAGGAAACCCCAGACAGAAGCCCTCCAACCCAGCGCCACCCCCAGAAGGCAAACAATTGCGTGCCCGCACCATGGCACAACAATCAATTCACCCAGACTCACCCTCCCCCCCCCCCCTTTTCCAGAAAAAATTCTGTGCCCGTGTGAACTACAGGTGGCGCCACCTTGCAGTCCGACAACACTGCCTTCTACAATCCACTGAGGAGACAGTGATTGTTGCTAGTGTTGCCGCAAGGCATGGAGCAACTCACAGCCATAGGGTGCAGTTTCCAGGACCGACCAGCCTTGGAATCGCGGACACTTTTCGGCCGGCGCGACAAAACACGAAAGCCGCCGTCCCCCGTAACAAACGGCCCAAACCGGAGCCCAGACTTGCCGCAGACAAAAGGCCGACATCACACAAGACGCACAGGTAGACGTGGGAGTACGGGTGGAACTTCTGCCGCACTCCGCCTCGGTCGCAACGCGCAACCGTGGTGGGAAATAAAAAGGATGAGCAAGTTCGGCGCTCCCTCGGAAAGAGGCCAGGGCAAGTGTCCTTGCGAGAGCAAGCATGAGAAACGAAGCCCCCATCTGAAATACACTCGCATATCCCCGTTGCTTCAATGATAAATGCACGTCCACACGCCCACCACAAGTTCGGTCACACCCTTTTTTTTGTTGTTGTAGTCACATACACAGTATAAATATAAGCACACCCACACACACAAATGTAGATATTTATATATATATATGTATATGCCGTGAACATGGAGCTAATATATATTAAGAACCAGAAAACTTCATCTGCGTCAGCGGACCTCCCAACGAGAAAGGCTGTTCGATCCTTCCTTCTATTTAAATAATAAACCTTCCAAAAAATGTCAACGTAAAAACGAAAACGCACGGGAACAAAAAGGAAAACTGCAAATGAAGCCGTGTAACCGCAGTAGAGAGATGTATCTTTTGTACTATGAAAAACTTTCAACTTTTTTTTTAATTAATATTCTTCAGTGCCACTCCTACTCCTGGAAAATTGGCATAATTGTAAACTGGAATAGGAGATTAAAACTGTTGTTATTCCTTATAATGAAACGATGACCAACTCGCCGTTAAAGGGTGTAACAAACCACGCACCTTGGTCTACGCTCTGGAGACATAATTGAGTCGACGGCGGCGGGGGAGGGGGGGGTGTGATTGGCAAGGGCAATGGACAGTGCAACGACACAAACAAATCAAACGTGCGACAGAAAAAGTCGCGTGGGATTGAGAATGAAGCAGTTCCAATCTTATCGGTTCTGCTCGACCAGAGTGAGACAAGCGGGAACCTAAAGGAATGGTCCACGACGAATTCACACCTCTGAGCACCGATTTTGGGTGACACACGGAAGGGCAATCGAAAACCCTGGAAGCCCTAAACACGTCGTAGCGTACCCACAACTCATTCCCCGAAAGAGCGACGCAAACGAAGAAAGAAAAAGCCTCGCCCGAGGGCGAAGGCGACGAGTGAAGAGGATGGTGCGAAAATTCGTTACAGAACAACCTTTTTGGAATGTGACGTGTGCCCCGCCAGGCAATCGGTGCAAAGTGACCGTCGCTCCTGTCTCCGAAAAGACGAAGTCCAAAAAGGACCATTTCTGCCGTTATACGTAGGACAAGGAGAAAAGAAGGAATGCGAGCCCAACCCAACCGCGAGCTACAGAGCGTCTGTCAAGTAGAAGAGCCCGCCTGTCTACTGAGCTGCCGTCAGCGAGCCTGCGACCTCAGGAACCCGCAATGCATCCGCAAACCCAGAGCAACGTTGCATACTTTCGGTTTCTAGTCGATCGGGCATTGACTGTCTAGTGCAAACTCTTGGCCGAGCGCTTCGGCCAAGAGTTTGCACTAGACGGTCGAAACGGCTTCGGGCTTCCGCAGAGACAAGGGCACTGCATGCGAGTCTTCAGACTGAACAGTAAACGGAGTCGGAGAGGCAGACTATCCATCGCCAGATCACCTCCGGACTCTAGTTGCATAGTGTGAAAGGAAGCAACGACGACAAGGCTGCAAAAGGAGGAGAATGATAAACGACGCAACTACACGTCCACTTGTTTCCTCTACAGCACGCTGCACAAGTGCAAAAACACCTACTGCTATAGCTCGAGAATGACAACACGCTCCACTGTAAACTTCCTTCACACCCGGCTAAACTTTAGCCAACAAACGGGACAACTCTGGATATGTATTGGGGAGAGGGCAGACGGGAGAAACTCCGGCCTCGGCGGGTCGTTCCCTACACTGCGAGAAAAAGCTTGGGCACGTGCGAAGGCGAACAAACGACACGACACAGAAACACGCACACACTGGGGAGGTGCACAAATATGCACGCGCACACTCGCTACCACACAACCTCTGCGCCGCCGGAAAACAACCGCCGTTCCATTTTCCCTTTTGGAGTCGGCGGCGTCAAACCCGCGAGTAGCTTTGCGTCCTAAAAACCGTCCACCTTCGGCACGGTCGAAAACGCTCCACGGGATGAACAACACGGCACTGCTCGTTTTCGGAGGGAAACCTTTTGTCGGACTGACCCCTTACAAAGGGCAAACCACCCAAATGATACAGGAGGGGAAAATAAATAAAAAGAAACAAAGCCACTCAAAATCAGTCCTCCTGCCAGCTTGCAACTACTCATGCCAGCAGTCATTCGCTTATTGCTGAAACAACGGAAAAAATTGTTTATTCAACAGAACTTCCTTCGAAGATTTGCTTTTGCAGCGACAACTCTCACGAAATAAGTTACACGAGCAAAACAACTAACCACTAAGCTCGTCGCCATGCGCTCAACACTTTTTTTTTCTTTTTCACAGCGGCCAAAAAACACCTTGAGCATTTTTTTCCCCCCTGTAATCCCAGAGGTTGGGGAAAACAAATTGCAGAGATTATCTGAGAAGTTGCGCTTTGCTGATTACAACGCGGTTAGCATGCCGCTGCCTAGGCTGGAAACTGTGCGTGCATAGGAAACAATGGAACGAAAACTCTATATAAAACAAAACTGCGCAGGTGGCTAGGTCTAAAAACACAAGTGACTAAAACAAACAAGGTAAAACAGAGGAGGAAAAAAAACTTTGGGAGACAGACAGCTTGCTTTGCCCAGGCAAAAAAAAACAAAAAAACCAAGAGTTCAAGACAGAAACAACTAAATGAAAACAGAATATATAAATGCAAGGAGAGAGAGAACAGTTTATATATATATATATACTTAAAAACAAACCAAAAAAATGTGCAGAAACGGTACAAGAATAGACAAAAGCTGCCCTGTGTTTCTACTCTTAAAAACAGAGAAATGATGCAAACTAAAAAACTCTTGTTTCGGTTTCTTTTGTTGTTTCACCTCTTTCTCCTTAAACAATGCAACTTAGTCAACAAAAAACATAACTCGCATAAATCTCGGGGACCAGAACAGACCACGAGGAAAACACCGATGATACTTTTTTTTTCTTTTCGTTTCTTCTTTAGGCTCCCCACCACCCAACAAACAACTAAACAAACATAAGGTTGTGCATTCCTCAACCTTCAAAAGTGGAAGGACAAAAAAAAAAAGGAGTCGTACAAGGTTTTAGACTCTGCGTGGGGTAGACAGAAGAGAGCACCTGATGACTAGGAACCAAAAAAAAAAGAACATTACAATAATATTAAAAACAAAAAGGATTGAACCCAGAAGGAACAACACCCTCTCCCAACTCCGTCCCTTTAACATTTAACACCAAACCTCAATCCCTAAAATATGGGTAGGGGCAAGACTTAACAACTTCGTAACACCACTACAAAAGAGAAAAAAAATATGTAGAATACGTAAGGACGAGAGAAAAAAAAAAAAAGGAACAGTTCCTCCCAGACTTTGTGAACAACTTCAGGAAGAAAAGAAAATGGCAGTACTATTGTGAGAGACCCTTGTAGGTCAACACTGTTGACCAACACTAGGTAGCCCTCCCCCCCCCCCCCCCCCCTTGACAGTGTTGGCTAACGCCGTTGTGGGAACGAACCCCCACCCCTCCCCCATGAAAGGCAAATAATAAATATGTGAAAAAACTTACACAAGGAAAGGAGAGCAAGGGGGAAAACTTGGCACAACAAGCTTTCTGCTCTACTGCCCACGTGCTGCGGGTAGTTGCCCCCTTCCAACGGAACTCCAGTTCATACCCAGTTCACTTTCTTGAACGACCGATCGTCGAGAGATCGGCCAGAGATCGGCCACATTTTGTAACTTCCCGATCCCCGTGCAAGATCTTTGGCATGTTCCCTCTCCGCATCGCCTCCTTTTTCTCAGCTCCGTAAACCCCCGCGCATATCATCGCTCCGTTGTGTTGCCGTCGTTGACTAGGAAAGTACACAAAACGCTTGTAACCTCAAACAAAGAGAGCTCTCGGGCAAACAATACTTGACCACCGCCATAAACAAGATTCAACAAGAAAGAGATGCAAAGGATACAGGCGAGGGAATATAAAAAAAAAAAAAGCGGTACAAACGGTGATGATCTAAAACTTAACCGCACCCAAAACTTGGAAAATGAAGTTTGTGTGGGAGGAGGGAGGACAAACGAAGAAAAATAGAAGAAATCCCACCACAGACATAAAAATGAAGTAAAAACTGCCAATTATTATATTATTAACCAGTCCGGCATAAAAAAAAAAAAAAAAAAACGGGGGATAAGTGGTTTCACTTTTCCCCCAGTTGCAGAGCAAGGAGATTCCACAAGCCAAAAAAATACTGAGGCAAGGCCAGAAAAAACAAAAACAAGGTTACAACTCTTACAACTCCACACTACCACCAGCAGTTATGCAACAGGAGCCGTGTGCCATGTATACTATGGTCTTAAATAAAAACAATGCAGCACAGTTTGTAAAACGACTCGCAAATAATTTAAGTAGATCAGATCGCAGGATACAAAAAAAAAAAGTGAGGGGGGCGACGGGGCACTGGAGAGAAAGGCAACGGACGATGCCGTTTCGGCGGCACAATTAAAAACGAAATACCACAAAAGGGGGCGTATGTTTGCAACCTTAAAAACCAAGACCTGTTTTTCAGGAGGAAAAAGAGAAGAAAAAAATTTCCTGTAGCGTTTTGTGGTCTTTCTTTTCTATGTAGGCAATAAAACAAAATGGTTCTACCAAAAAAAAAAATTCTTCCGCAGACAGATGCCAAAACCAGCATCACTTTCCTCTTTTCAGAAGAAAATTAAAAGAAAAAAAAGGAAAGGTCATAAGCCTTCTCTCTCGTAATATGAGCCAAAAGAAAAAAAAAAAAAAAACGACCCCAAACATCGCCAAAAGTTAAAGCCAGGCGGAATTAAAAAAAAACGTAACGAGACGCGTTGGTCGGAAGCAATGAAACAGTTTTCCGAGAACAAAACTAAAAGAAGAGGGTCAGGTAAGGGGGGGGGAGAGGGAGGAGTGACAGCAAACAGAGCAGGTCCGTGGACAATCGCAGCAGACGTCCCGAGAAGCGGACGACGACGGCTCCCCAAAGCCGAAGCCAGAGCCATCAGAGGCAGCCCGCGCCGGTCCCGGAAGTCGCCGGGCCTGCCGCAGCCGAAGACGGCAACTGGACGTAGCGGTACACGTAGAGGCGGTAGTCCTTGGATGCGAGGACCACTGACCCGTCGTCCATGAGTGCGACGTCAAAGCACTGCGCGTGCTTGACCTTGGACTCGAGTGCGTTCACGAGCTGTCCGTCCTGAGTGAACACCGTCACGTTGAAGTTGTTGTGGTTGTCTGCGACAAGAATCTCGCCGCCCTGGTTCATGCACACGCCGATCGGGTAGTTGGTCAGCCCCTCCCCACCAATCTGGCGAAGGAAGTTTCCGTCGTAGCTGAACACCTTGACGCAGTGAGCCCGGTTGTCCGAGATGAAGATCTCCTGCCGGTCGTTTACCACCACCCCGTTGGGAAACTCGAGGTGTTTGGAGCAGCCAAACTTCTGCAGGACGTTTCCGCCCTGGTCGAAGATGATCACTCGCATCACCTTGCACTCGACGACCACCACGCGCCCCTTGGGGTCCACCGCCACGCCGCGCGGGTGCTGGAGGATCACAGCGCCAAACTTGCGCACGAACTGGCCATACTGGTTGTAGATCTGAATCTGGTGCGTGGGGGAGCGCTCTGTGACCACGATGTCTCCCGACTGGCGCACTACGGCCACGCGGTTCGGGTACAGCAGCTGCCCGTCCCGCTTGCCGCACTCGCCGAACTGGAACTTGAAGCGCCCCTCGCGGTCGAAGATCTGGATCCGGTGGTTGTTGGTGTCGGCCACCACGATGTCGTTCTGGGCATTCACCGCGACGCCCGACGGCTCCGTGAACTGGCCCTCCATGACGCCGAACTCGCCGAACTTGCAGTGGTAGATCATCTTCTGGCGCTTGATCTGCGACTTGAGCGGGTACAGGCCCACGCCGCTGCCGGAGAGGTACTTGGAAGAGAGCTCCGCGAGGGCCGTGGTCGTGCTGCCGCCTCCGCTGCTGCCGCCACCAACCGGCAGCACGGACGGCGGTTCCGGCGCCGTTCCGTAATCCGTCCCGTTCTGGAAGATGTCGCCGCCGCCGCCGCTCGACCACTTTTCGTAGGGACTGACGTCCGCGAGACTCGTCGAAAACGGTCCGAGGCTGTTTGCGGAGCTGAAGCGCTTCGACAGAAGGTTCGACTCAAAGGGAGAGGTTGGCGGCGGCGGCGGGTGGTGACCGTTCTGATGGGACGTGGCGATTGTCGTGGCGACGACGCCACTCCGGTCCGACGCGCTGAGGACCACGCCGTTGGGACGCGCGATGGGGGGCTGCCGCGGGACGCCGTGGTTGTCAGAGGCGCCACCCTGCTTTATGTAGCCGAACGTGTTCCGCACGCCGACCTGGATCGCCTGGAAGTTGGAGACAAACTCGAGGTCCATGTTGTGGAGGCCGGACTCCGGCCGGAAGGACAGGAAGCCCTGGAACTTGGCCTCGAGGAGCTGCTTGAACACGAGGGCCTCCGTGCTGGTCGAAAAGCGCGTCAGGCGCTCCACGAACGCGCACACCTGGTGGATGCGCTCTATGGTGTCTTGCACCTGCGGCCACGCATGAAGAAATTCGTTTGTTGTGGACCCCGCTGCAACTGACAGGCCGACGGTTCTAATTTGACGTCTCTGAAGAGTCGCGAGGAAACTGACCATCGGCCTGGCCCGGTGCTATCGCATAGTGCCCGACTTTTTTAAGATGTAGACGTCATCCTAGCCGACATGTGCTTTAATTTTTTTTTAGTTGGAGATGCTGTATCAACAGACTTTTAGCAATAGTTTAGACACTGGAGTTCTTGAGCAAATGGTGCGAATATCAAAGAACACAAATGCAAGGGCTCCAGAACTCACAATGAAAATATTGTTCTCACAGTGGCACTTGGGAAGATTGGCAAAGTTTGATGCAACTGAATGGTCAAGCGTGCTGGTGTCTAAATTACGGAAACTAAAGGGGCACACGAAAGTCTGGGTTTCCTGTATTATCTTTCATGTCCCCTCTTTCGTTTCCGTAATTACCTCAACTAGTATGAAGTCGTTCGAAAGTTTAATCGCCCCACTCTCTCCAAGGACCAAAGCAAGTTTTGAGCAGTCAAAAAGGTCCCACTCAAAACATGCTTTCGTGCTCCCCAACTTAAACCCCACCTGGCACATGAAACAGCTTTTAGACTACATTTCCGCTTTGTTCTTCGATGGCGCCTGGGTCAATTTTTGTGGTCTGCCTTACGACAGTCAGGGAAAACTTTATCTAAAAACCTGCACCTCATAAATATTTTTTTTTTTTTTTTGGGTGCTGCAATTTTCCTTGGCTGTAATCCGCAAGATAAGGATGCATCATAGCATTGCAAAACTTGCACAGAGACGCAAGACCACTTGCAGAACGTACAACGCCGTCCAGCAGTGCAGAAATGAAACGAGTTCTACAAATCCAGCACTTTCACTGTGCTCTCGTAAACACCCGAACCGTTCAAACAATTTCTCTGTTATAATAGCAGTAAAGAATCGCAGACTGGTGTCTCTACAGTGCCTTCAACTCCATTCCCTCAATTTCTGTCGTCGTCGCCTGCCACTATCCTGCCGGCACCACGGCGGCAGGGCCAAGGGCGGGTTTAGAACGAAGGGGGGGGGGCAACCTCCCTGCCTCTTAAGCTCCTCAAGGTTAACCTTTTTTTTTTAATAAAATAATCGATATACTGATAATGCAATTAATGCAAAGGTGCAAGTGAGCTGGAAAAGAATTCTTGTCCAGCTCGCTTGCACCTTTGCATTATCATCATAACCTTAAAAATGCAGGGTGTTCACCCTTGTTGGTGTAGACTGGTGGCAGACTGGAACAAGGGAGAGGTCCCTTGTTTGATACCAGAACCAGGCGAATTCTGTCGGTTGCGCACCAGCCACGTAGTTGTGTTTGGAGATTTGTGTTTGGTCTTTGTTCCCCTTGCTCCCCTTCTCCAGGATTATTTTCAAAATTGATATACACCAGCCAAAAGTCTCGTTTTTGGTGACATAGCAAACATTGGGCCAACAAACTAGATTTGGGCAATGTTTTAGCTGTAACGTCTTATCTCAACAGACTCCCACCCTTCCTCCCTTCCGGCGACCCCGCATTGCGCTCGTTTTCTTCCCTGGCGTTTCCACGGCCGTCTGCCAAGACCGTGGCAACCGATGGCACGCCTTGAAGAATTCAGCAATATATTTTGTTGCCCCTACGGGGCCACCCCAAACACATGGACAAGGTTCCAGACGCGGTAGTACCACACCCTGCTGCCTGCAGTATTTGAGTGGGCTCTCAGTGCTCGTGCTGTGCCCCTTGACGGCGTTTTGATGGAAAGGAGAAGCCTACCAAGGACCGCCTCAACATCACGGTGCAGGCAGGGTACAGAAAATCTGACAACCGACGCAACGCGGGAAAGCGACTGCGCCTCCCAGTGTCTCTCTCTCTCTCTCTCACGTGTCTAGCGGCAGAAGCCACCAACGAAAAGTTTTGCAAGTTTTGCGATGCTCTCTCAAAATTCGTTGCACGGCCTCTTGGGATTCGTGCAAATGGCCCAGTGAAATCAACCATAAAGACGCGTAAAGAAGCATGGATCTGGTGGGGAACACTTGGACCACTGGTGCCCCCTTTGGGGTAGGACACTGAATGGACAGAATACAAATACACCTATTTTTTGCCGAAAAAAAAAAAAAGAGAAAAAAATGTCTTTCAAGTGTTGCAGTTGTGGCTCCTCCAAATATTAATGAGCAATATGGCAAAGTTTGGTAAACTTCCGTGCTGTAATTACCGCGAAAGTAAACCTTTTAGATGCCCTGCCGGTGCTCCCCCCCTCCCAAGGAACGGCGCACTCGCGCAAAGACGCGGAGAAAGCATTATTTTTACCGCTTTTCGGAAGGGTACGGTGCGGCGCCCGCGAAGCCTAGCGTGGCATACATACTCTCTTTGGAAAGGCCGTTCCTCCAACTTTTTGGTGAAATAGTAAACACGGGTCGAGGGTATGTGTGCATGGAGAGAACCCCATTGCAGAAACTTCTTTCGCGGGAAGTATAATGGGAAATTCGATGAAAGTCGTCTTCCTATTGGTCGGAAAACCGAAACTAGAGCCACGATTGGCTTTCAGGCATTACGTGATCTCTTGCAGCGGCCACGCTTCAGTCCATGTCTCATCATCGATCTGCCAGCATCTTGCCATTTCGGTTAAATTTTTCTCACAATTTTTTCACTCTGTACAAGTTCAAAGGGAAGCCTACGTGCACGAAAGTGTCGGTTAAGCTTCTTGGTTCACGAAATCAAGAGGCACTGCAGGTGGTCAACATTCAAAAGCTCCCAACGTGACCCCATCGGCGACGTCGCCCAAACCGTCTTGCCGGACTCCGTCAAAGTCTCCGGAGACCTTTTCTTCTACGCCGCATTTCGAAAATGGTTTGACATCGAAGGAGAGAGAGAGAGATTTTGGGGGATAATGGCGCAAAAGCTACGAGGCCATCTGCGCCAAACTAATTGTAAGGATCATTGTACTAAAGGAAAGGTTTTACAAAAGGATGACCAAAAGGCTAGAGTCGGTGTAAAAGGCCAATACTACTAAGAAATTCTATTACTCGTTCAAAAGAGACTAGAGGATTCTCTCCCACAAGGAGAGCAGGATGAAATGGGATATGATATTGGAAAAAGTCGGGGAAATGAATGCGGCGCTTGGGCTGAAGGCCGGGACACAACCACAAGATATGCAAAACAGTGAGCCTGTCACCACACTGATCACACACAGGTGGATCTTCTCCCGAAAGCAGATACCTATGAGTTATAAATGAGTGTCCAATTCTCAGGCGGCACAACAACGTTTCATGAAATCTGCTCTTGCATGAAGAGCTTTCTCAAGCTCCCAATGCAGGTTTGGTAACATGGAGCTTGTTATCGCACTCCATGTTCCATTCCAATTGCCAAGAATGAAGAATTGAGGACTTCACCAAGGGCTTGTGGAAGGTTCCCGGCAGACCCTGCAAGTTTGCCGGCTTCTTCATTGCCTTGAATGCCAATGTGACTGGGCACCCAACAAAATTTTATATTTTGACCCCTGTGCAAAGCAGAGTTAAGTTTATATTGAATTTGTTGTACAAGCATATTTTTAGTATCTTTAAGAGAGCAAACTGCAAGAATCACACTTTGAGAATCAACAAACAGGACTGCCCTCAGTATTTTCCTATTGATAATATATTCAATCGCTATTGATACAGCATAGAGCTCCGCAGTAAAAATGCTGGCGATACAATCAAGTCGTTGAACCTTGGAGAAGCTTTCAGAGTATACGGCGCAACCGACGAAAGATGAAGTCTATGCGCCATCTGTATAAACATGAAGATAACCATCCTACTTATTTTGCAGTTCTCCAAACTCTTGCTTAATTACAGCATGGGAAATGCCGTGCTTGTTGAACTTTGCGAGAGACCAGTCGGATTCAACTCGCTGTGTTTTCCAAGGTGGAATAATGTTCACTTTCCGAACGAGGCCGACCTGGTCCAGAGAAAGATGCAGCGAGGAGCGAAGATGTTCAATGCGGAAGCTCAACAGTGTTACAATGCTTGATTTATTTTCAGAAAGGCGAAAGAACCTTGACCTTGTGAGTGAAGAGTAAGTCGGATGCTGAGGGTCGGCCAGAATCTTGTAAGCATATGTTAGACTAAGATATGTACGTCGTTTGTTCAGGGACAGCTCATTGGATTCTGCATACAAACTGAGGACGGGGGACGTCCGGAAAGCTCCTGTTGCGAGATGGTGAACCAAGTCCAACATCTTAAGGGCAGAGGGCCGAGCCGATCCATACACTACTGCACCATAGTCAAGACGGGATCGTACAAGGGCATTGTATAACTGCAGGATACATTTTCTATCAGACCCCCGAGACTTGCGAGATAAAACTTTCAGAAGGTTTGTCGACTGAAGGCATTTTTGCTTCAGCACTTTAAGGTGGGAAATAAAATTAAGCTTTCTATCAAATATTACACCAAGAAATTTGTGCTCCTTCCTAACAGGTATAGGAGTTCCATTCAATTCCGGGGATGGATCCAAAGACAGCCCGCGTCGCAGAGAAAAAGGGACACAAACAGTTTTTGAAGCAGAGAACTTGAACCCATTTTCGTCGGCCCTCTTGGACAGTTTGTTTATGGCTAACTGCAACTGGCGCTCACAACTAGAAAGGTTACAAGACGATGATGAAATCTGTATATCATCAGCATAAAGAGAATATGAAATAGAGGGTGGCAGCAGTTGTGCGAGTGAATTCATTGTTAGCAAAAACAAAGTCACACTTAAAACACCCCCTTGAGGGACTCCATTTTCTTGAACAAAGGAATCAGATAGGGCCGAGCCGAGATGAACTTGGAAAGTCCTGTCTGTCAGATATTATTTTATGCTTCGCAGCATACGGCCACGGATATTACAGGCCATACAGGTTTCGGAGAATCCCATACCTCCATGCTGTGACATGTGCCCTTTCCAAGTCGAAAAAAACTGCAACACAGTGCTGCCTGTTTACAAATGCTTCACGTATCACAGTTTCCAGGCG